TCTGGATTAGATATAAAGCTGAGGTTTATTTTTTTGGTTTTCCATTTTAAATATTAAATTTAGTCCAGCTACTCCAGGAAAAGCAATTTGCTGAGATACATGCTACTCACACATGAACAAGATTCTCTCTTTTGCTGCAAAAGCATGCAGACATGAAATAGCTAATTTTTACCTGTGAGAGTATCTCTGAATTTTTTGACAGGAAATTGGCACTGAAAGTACCACCAAAGGAAAATGTGTACATACATTGAAACTGACACCCATGGATCCAGTATCATCTGAGTAAGGTGACAGCAAATGCACACAACCAAATGAGTGAGTGATGATCATAGGCTCAGACACAACACATAGACCTCCATGCAGTGGTCTGGTTTTATTTACTTATATTTCCATTTAAAGGGGCACTTTTTGAGTAGAATCCTTAAACTTTTAACTCAGAATGAAAAACTAGAAATTTTCTCATTAAAATTTATTGCTCAAAATGCAAATTCTCAAAAATGTAGGGCTTGCATTGTTGTACACTTTCAATTTTCATAAGCAAAAAAAAAATCTTCACGTAACTAAAGACCTTCTATTAAAGGCAAACACATTTAGAATTTTTACAATTTGTGCATAATACAGCTTTCCCAGTTGTGTTTTCATTCTGAGAACATATACAGCATATATACTAATGTTACATAAAATTAACAACAAAAACTAAATCCATCTCCATTCAATTTTGATTCTAATTATACTGACATAAGGCAAGAGGGCCAAGTCATAGAAAACAGAGTCTATTTTCATACTGATTTTATCACCAATCAGCTATCTCTGCAGTATTATATTGCTAGAGTCCAAAGTGTTAATGAATATGTAGCAATTTTCCCAGGCTTTAAATATAAGTTTTGTCCTTGAGTTCCCTGCTACTAAGAAAAAGGGAAAACAAACAAATAAACAAACAAAAAAAAAACAGTACTTGAAAAGTTTAAGCAGCAAACTATAGGCAATTTAAAAATTTTTCAACCACTAATATCAGCAACTAAGATTTTTTTGGCCATAGCTCTTTTCCTCTATGGATTTTCATGGTTACACATGTGTTGTGGGTAACACTCAATTTTAAAACAAAAACAAAACACATTTCTTTACTGGAACTTTTGCGTTTCAAAGATGAATTCCAAATTTTTAAATTATTGTTCCTTAATATCAAATGAATCCACATTTGAGACTGATCATGTTCAGGCTTCATTTATATTCTTTTATTTTAATTTTGTTATATTAACAATATGCTAACAATTCATTCATACATATTCCATTTATATTAACACTCTCAATACTTGGTCAATCCAATTTAAGGATGAAGATAGTTGAAAACTTTATCTCCAACTAAAATTCAGTGGGAACATGTTTTAGCTCAGAGATCTATGAACAACAGAGATATAAACTAAAACCACCCAATGGTGCCACCACAGTATTAGGTTAAGCTTTCCACTTTATTTCAACATCCCCCTTTTCTCATCCCCCACACAACTATCTCTTCGACTGACAATTGCATATTTTGTAAAGACTTATTCAATTCCTTAAAGCACATTTAAAAAAAGTTTTCATTTGATCTAGTGGCATAGTCTTACATGTCTGAAAATTTCAATATATTTAAAAGTGATTTAAAAATAACTTCCCATAGCAAACAATATTTAAGTCATAGGAAGTTGAAGCCATAGTTATATTAATATGGAATAACTAAAGCTTTATTCTCTATGTCAACTGTATTTTAAATGTTTTTCCCTCTATATATACACTTTCCACAGTTCATTTTCCATCACGGTTCATATTGTAAAACTGCCTTGTGACTAGGAACTCCTACACACATACGTGCACAATGTTCTGACTTTCCACTGCAATCTAAAATGTGGTTAGATTATCTAATTTGTATTGTGTTCTTTTTACCTGCAGCTACAGGGAGACTGAAATTAAGTTCTCAATACTTCATCAGTAAAAAGCATTTGAAAAGTAAATAGATCTTAACAGAAATGTTTGTGGGTTTTTTTTGCCTTCAGTATGAGTGACGTATGTTGCATAAACTATGCACTGCAAAGCGGAGGGAGACTTCTTTACCCTGCAAAAGGAAAAGTAAAACATTGAAAACGAATTTTAATGAAATCATAACATTAAAATAGTTTTATATTAAATCTTTCTAATTTTCTAGGTGAAGGCTGTGAAGTGAATGTGAAGAAACATTAAAAGAGAATTGAATTTGCATTCCTTATGCTACAGGCATGTTTACATGACCTTTAAAATAGAATTAAAGCTGTATCATCAGCAGCTGTAGGCAATTCACATTACTAAGGCAATCAAATCAGAATGCTAAGCTAACTATAAAACATAAAATAAACTTGATATAGAATCATCTCAATTCACTAGATTTACTTGCAATCTACTTATACACTGGCAGGCATTTCAAAGTAGTTTGCAAATCCACTAAACCAGAAATACTCCAACACATCTGAAAAGTGTCCAGCTATAAGTATGGAAGCTAGGAATATTGAACATATCCTTCTCAACAAACCTCCATCATTCATCAGAACTAGCTCATTTAATGATCATTATTTACTTTCAACAATCAACTCCAAAATTAAGCATAATCCCATGTAGACACAATGCTATCTGATGTATTGTACATGAAGAGATGATTTTTGTTTCCAAACAAATATTTGGAAGAGTTTATAAATAATGCTTAAAGGCTAGTAAAATTTAACTGCACTTTTTCATCTCTGAACTTTATTGTATTGTTTCCCAGCATTCCCCACACCATCTAATAACTCTATTCTGGTTTCCTTTAATAACATGTACAGGTATGATACCTCTTAAAATATGGTAGGATAGATTATAAAATAGAGTTTTAAATGTAATTGTATGGGAGAGACTTTTTCTAAAGAGATAAAAAGAAAAGAGTAAATATATTTATAATTTGATTCACCTCACTAGATGTTTCTAAAAAGCTTGGTCACTTTCCATTTCCAGTAGGCAAACCGCAGAAAAAAACATATTCTATTTTTTCTAACATGTTTCCATTTGTGTATTGTGACTTATTTTCCTCCTTTTTAGAAAACTTCGCAGACTCTTCAATAGTATTAATAACATAGGGAATATATTTGATAATGCAGTTCTGCTACTTTAAGGGGTAATGAAATGGGGGACAGAAATACTTCTCTCTATCAATAATGTGGGTGTCTGTATAGGACAAATATTAGTTCTTTACAAAGCTGTCAACTAGATGTTCAAAGAAAACTAAATTTCCATAGCTATAATACTCAGTTTCTGCAGAGTGCAGATCCATAGGTAGAGTTCAGATCTTTTTTGAAGGCAATTTACAATCAAATTTATTTGTTCTTCAGTATGCAAAGGTTCAGCCATGTAAAGATACACACACTCTCTCTCTTCCTTTCTCTCTCTCTCTCTCTCTCTCTCTCTCTCACACACACACACACACACACACACACACATAAAGGTGTTCACGATCCATTTGTTTAAGGAGGGGCGAGCATATCTAATGTTTACATCAAGTGCCTGGGGAAATATTGTATTTAAAGATAAAGATGAGAGCAGATATGATTGGATTATAGAGTAACTGAAAACAGAAACCCAAATCACTCTCCAAAAGTAGAAATAGTAAAAAGATAGTAGGTGAGAGAAAGGAGAGAACTTCATTTTCACTATCATTTAATTAAGTAAAATATATATATATATTGGCTGTACAAAAGTAATGTGAGTTGTTGGTATTTAGATTGATCTGAGTTTCCTTAGAAACCTAAGGTTTCTCTTGCTTTTGTTATTGTTAAAAACAAGAAATTTGTTCTTTTTGAGAGAATTAGGCAGGTTTAAATCCTGCTGTTCTCAATGTGATCTGAGCTAACATCTTAGTGCCTGGACAAAATATTTCAGGGTAACTATCACCTCCAACACACACACAAGAAAAGTCCTGGGGATGTTGCTCTTCTAAGCACACCTCAAGGGAGTGTGTCACTGATGCAGAGCTGTGGTAACATACATTTGGCCGTGAAGGGGCTGGGTCTTGCCTCCTGAGAAAGGGTTTCCTTAATTACCTTAAGTTTGTACCTGCCTAGAAAGGGGTACATTGGGATTAGGAATGGTCAAGGGCCCACTTGGCAAGAGGCAGGGTTGCTCAGGGACAAGAATACTGGACCACACTGACCAGACCCAAGGGATTCTAAGAGACTCACATCTAGCAGGGTCCCCAATCTCATGCAGCTCACACAGCTGCCCTGGTTCCAGCTCTTCTAGAACTTAATTCCCTCTTTTCACTTCTAACAAGGGGAATTCAGCTTTACCTCCATCTTACGAGCCCTACTCCAAATAGAGGAAAAGAGCCTGGGATGGGCAGGGTTGTGAGGGCCAGGAGGCTGGCAAAATTTGGTTCCCTCGCCAGCTGCCTACTTGTCTGAATAGGACCCATTTGGCTCAAAGAATTGTAATCCACCAAGTTATCTTAAGACAGGATCTCTCAGTTTAACACTGCCACCTTGGTCCTGGCTCAAAGACCCCTACATAGAAGGCTAAATTCTGCTCCAGTTACTGGAATTCACCCCAGGATTTTAGCCAGGCAATCCAAGAGGTGAGGGATCCTGTCATTGTCCAGAAAGCCCCCCCCCCCACCCATTACCAATGAGGTGGTACACTGAACTTTGGAGTCAACTCCTGGATTCTCTCTGGGTGTGACTCTCTGCAGGTTGGAACAATCAATTAGGCTAGTCAGGAGGGATTCATGGCTAGGGTATCAGACCCACCAGAGGGAAAAGCCTGGTGAGGGACTGGGTTCTTTTGCTGGATGCCTGAGCACCAGTAACTTGAAAAGAGATTCCAAAAATGTATTGGCTATAAAATACACACACACACACACACACACACACACACACACACACACACACACACACACACACACACAATGGCATGTATCTCCAGGCAGCAGAAAACCCAAATAGCGGATCAAGTAGATATCCTCTCTGAGCAAGGAAGCCAAATTGATCGCCCCAATGGGAAGTGGGGCAAAGTGCAAGAGATATCTGAAAGACAGTTACAGGAGATTTTAAGAGCACTTTGGATACCACAAACACAACAATCACAACATAGGGAACACTAACATTCTTGTGAAAAAAGAAATGTCCTTACAAAGTGAATTTCATCCTAAACTAACTCTCTCTCTCTCTCTCTCTCTCTCTCTCTCTCTCTCTTTCTCCCCAGACATGGATATAAACATATAGCTCTAGATATATATTTATTTAATCAGTTTTTCTCAGAATCCTCAGTCCTCTTCCCTACCTAAACCCATAAAAATAATAGAAATTTCTAAATAATAATAGAAGGTTAAATCTGGTCGCCTGCTCATTTTCAAATGTGATACATGTTTTTTACCAATGTGGTACCCAGAAATATTAACATGAATCCCCAACACTAGGAAGATTACTTACTTAAAGTATTTTCCTAGAAGGAGCCTATATTTTCCATAATTCCATTACTGCAAGGTGATGCAGATACCAGCTAATTCAATAACTACTGTTTGTTAAGGAAGGGGGAAGTCAGTGTAACTAAAACAAGATCTCAGTTATGAATAAAGTTGGAGCATTCTTACAATTTTGCACATTAAAACCTCAATCTGTCCACAAAGAAGAAAGTGAATTGCAATATTGGGCACCTCTATTAACTACTAAAGTGACTTATAAAAATGCTTCTATTGTTCAACTAGGTGACTTAGTGATGCTTCAAATACTGGTCCACAGAATTGAAGGTAAAGATCATATCTACATGCCCTCTAATCGATCACGCAGCTGGATTTATTTTTCTCATCTTTAAATACCATCATTTCAGGCCTTAACAAAAAAAAAATAATCAAGATACAAGTAAGAACCACTACTACAATTTAAATTTGGAAACATTCTGCTATTCCATTAAAAAAAGCAGTTCCGCGTTGAAACTATTTTGTGAAACCATTCACTAGATTCTTCAAAACTAAGCTCTGTTTACAATGCAAAACAAGTGACTGGCAAATGCTCACAATAATTCCTAGACACCCCAGATACTGGTGCCGGGTAAATGATAAACAGAGTGCTGCACAGTAGCTTTGTCTCTATAAATCTTTTTCCTGGAACCCTGTAACAGTAGGGTTCACCCACTGACAATGGCAATGGCAAGAGAAGAAGTGACCTCAGAAGAGAAACTGAGAGTGGATCAACACGACTTTAGGAAAGCAGTGGTGGGAGCTAGCATCCTTTCTCTCTGCAGTGAGGGTCTCTATTGTCCCTATCTGTCCTCTAACAATCCTGTCAGCGGCCCCAGCTACACAATGCTTCAGCACTTCCCCACTGACATTCAATTTTGCTAGCAAATGATTAGTGTTCTTGAAGATCTGGGTATTTTTATGATGAATATTTTGCTTTTTAAATTACCCTGCATTTTATGTGGCATTCACTGTATGCTACCACTTCTTCCCCCCCCCCCACAGAGATCTAAAAAGAAGCTAATTGAGCTTAAATCCGTATCGACTAATATCTGCTAATGTTAGCTAATAAAAAAAATTCCCCCAGAATATTATGAACCCCTTCCCCCCCACAGTTTGCCAAGAATTAAAAGAAAAAGAATAACGAACGATAACAATGGCAACTATAAGAGTGGCTGATGCTCTGAAGGGCAGCTAAGTCTCACACCAAAAAAGTCTCATGAGCTCAATGTACAAACACTAAGAAAAAGGCGCTTTTTTCTCTGCTGCTTTCAGAAGCTGTTCAATTGTTTCCCTTCCCTTATGAGCACCTGGTTATAAAAAGAAAATGTGTACTTGTCGCTACCAAGCCCAATCAAACTTGTTCTGTTTCCAAAGTGAACTTATGTTGAAGATGAAGTTTTCTATCTTGAGGTCACGCCTATGTGCCACATCCTATGATCTGGAGCTTCATGCTGTATTATACACATTCAAATCTGGCCTTTTAGACTTCTTTCCGGACCCTGCTCTCCAACCTTCACCAGCCCCAGCTCCAGACTGCCTCCTGTTCCTCCAATTTTTAGGAAAAATGAGAATTCTTTCTAACCTATACTCATATAAGAAATACACAAGCGGTATAATCCCTGTGGCTGGGGCACTTTCAGAAAGAGCCTGGAACAAGCTGCCCAGCTGCAATCACACTCTCTCTTTTCTACAGGCGTGCAACCTGAATCACAGTAATATGCCTAATTTCTTTTGTGAGTCCTTTTCTTGCTTGGACAGGGAGCAGTGTCCTGGGAAGACTCTCAGGAGTTCTTATATATCCTTAAATCTTATGAGACAGGAGAGCCACTCTGAACCCCTAGGTTGCAAATAATTTAATAAACATACAAGTAAATCAAGCCAATCTGGCTTGTTTTTTGAAATTAACTGAATCGCCCTCTTAGAAACCAAGCAATGTGATGGGTGGTGTGAGGTGGCAAATTGGGGTTTGAAGGCAACCCAAGGAGGAATGGAGCTGGTGTCTGGTACTAGCCTGACAAGGGAATGGAAACCTGTGTTGCCTTGCTGGGGATGGGTATGTGGATTTGCTAAAATTACATTTCCTCCACTTGTAAATCAGGCTTCTCTCCAGGGGACCATTTAGCTGCCCCAACCTGGTAGGGCTGGGGTAGCTATTATTATATTAAAACCATAGCTCTAGAGGGGGTGGGGTAAATCAGATCTGAGGACCCAGCAGTGGACTTCAAGATCAAGGTGAGGAGAACACCAGCTGTGTATATAGTCCAGCTATGCAAGAGATCAGTTTATCAGTGCTAATGTTGAGTTTAAGGCAAAATTCAGTCCATGAAAAAATAAGTTACCAACTATTTGCAACAGTAGCTTCACATAGACTTAATTTTCTCCCATGTCCAGATGGGGTCGGCTATTGAATGAGGCTCTTTTATTTTGTATGGGGCAGGGGATTTGTGACCATGGTCCCCCCTTTTATTCCTCTCTCTATGGAAACCCAGATCATGGGGAGAAATATGCGAAGCTGAATAAAGAGAAGCCGCAGAAAGGAGCGCTTGAGAGCGGCATCTGTTACACTTGGGAAGTTAGACTGACAGGAGAGGGCCAAGGAAACCTCTCCAGTAGATCAGTTAGAACAGCAAGAAGATTTGACTATATTCAGATAATTTACTCAAAAACAAAGCACTTTACTTGCAAGAGAAGATTCTTATCACAGTTGCTCCAGGATGTGCTTGCACCTGAATTTAATAGGTGGACTCTATATTCATGGGAAGTAATTTTTAAAACAAATAGAAAGAGCAGAGAGAGATAAGAATGAGAGGGAGGGAAGAGGAAAGGAAAGGAAAGGAAAGGAAAGGAAAGGAAAGGAAAGGAAAGGAAAGGAAAGGAAAGGAAAGGGAAAAAAAGAAAAGAAAAGACT